TATGTTAAACCTAGTTGTCCACTCTAGTTGTCCGGAATTGACCAGACGAGACCTATGTTAACCCTAGTTGTCCGGAACTGTCCGTTCGATCCCTATGTTCACCCTAGTTGTCCATCCTAGTTGTTCGGAACTGACCAGACGATCCCTATGTAGACCCTAGTTGTCCAAAACTGACCAGACGATCCCTATGTTTACCCTAATTGTCCGGAACTGTTCGTTCGATCCCTATGTAGAGCCTAGATGTCAAGAACTGTCCCATCGATCCCTATGTTAACTCTAGTTTTCCAAAACTGACCAGACGATCCCTATGTTCACCCTAGTAGTCCTGAACTGTCCCATCGATCCCTATGTAAACCCTAGTTGTCAAAAACTGACCAGTCGATCCCTATGTTAACCCTAGTTGTCCGGAACTGACCAGTCGATGTCAATGTTTACCCTAGTTGTCCAGAACTGACCGGACGATGCCACTGTTAACCCTAGTTGTCAGGAACTGGCCAGTCGGTCCCTAAGTTAAACTTAGCCGTCCAGAACTGTCCAGTCGATCCCTGTGTAAACTTAGCTGTCCAGAAATGACCAGTCGATCGCTATGTTAACTCGAGTTGTCCGGAACTGACCAGTCGATCCCTATGTTAACTCTAGTTGTCCAGGACTGACCAGACGATCCCTATGTTCACCTTAGCCGTCCAGAACTGTTCGGTCGATCCCTTTTTTAACCCTATAGTTGTCTGGAACTGTCCAGTCGAACTCTATTTTAACCCTTGTTGTCCGGAACTGACCAGTCTCTCCATATGAACCCCTGTTATCCGGAAAGACCATTCCCTCCCATATGCTGACCCCCGGCTACAGCCGATTGGTCCGTACTACCGTTAATCCCCTTACCTCTTAACTGTTTTTCGATAATGCCAGAAGAAACACACCTGTCTTACTGGGATTGATCAGGTCCTGTATGTTGTGTTGTTATTTAAACCGATTGAGTTAGATTTACGACTCTGGCGGCGATATATGACATTCCATACAAACAGTTGTCCTTCCCTATTTAGATACCACTGACACTTCGTCTATGACCCTACAAATGCTATAACTAAGATGAAATTAGATTTTTATGCATTTTCTGACACTGTATAGTAAATTAAACAGCAAATATGGTATATATCGGGCTCCATCAAATATCTGTAACCGTCTTGAATTTAGATATATATTTCTGATTTTCGATAAGTACTTTTCCGCTGTCGTTTAGCTAAGCCTTATCGTCGGCTTGGCTTCATTCGGATTAATCTTAAAATTGGCAATATGAGCACGCAAAATAAAAACCGTCTTTAAACGAATTAATATTGTAAACATGATTTTAAAATATACATGTTTGGGAAATATAAGCACTCAAAACCATTTGTACCCAAATAAAACTGTTGAGCTGCTCTAGTATTTTTACGTTATTTGATGAGCGGTATTTGGACCCCGGGCTTACATTTAAAGATTGAATAATGAAAGAAGATATATCTCCTGTCAGTGAAGATCATACACAATGCTCGGTGTACAGGGTCATACTGGTAAAGCGAGCCTGGACTGGGTTGATTGTCGGCGGCCAGATAGCTCAATCGGAAGAAGTTCCGTCTAGAGTGCGGTTAGAACCCTCGTCTGGCTGTGCATTTTTGCTCTCCTGTTACAGTGGTACCTGTGTCCAACCCTTGTTTCAAGCACTGGGCGCACGCTTGAAAAGGGATACCCGAACGTGAGTTGTAAAAATTGTGGTCTAAATTGGCAAATACTTGTAAAAAGGAGGGAAGAATGTAGCGGAACTGGACTGGGTTGATCGCCGATGATCAAGTGGCTCAATTGGTAGAGCGTCCAGCTAGAGTTCGGAGGTCCTGTGTTCTGGCCGGGCAACCAAATAAGCAACCAAGATATATTTGAACTATCGATCCTTCACTTATTTATTTAAAATGCCATTATCTTCACATGACCATTCAATAAAGATCGCTACGGCCGTTCATGTGGTGTGTAAGTAAATTTATCCCCGTTCATACTTGCATGAACACTGGAAAAATCCATATTCATTCCCTGTATAACTCGGAAAAAAGCATCCACTTATTTCAAGGTATAATAAATAAATATGAAGTAATCTTACGGTCCATTTAACAGCCTCCTTCAGACAAAACGAACCGAACAGGAAACATAGTTTTTAAATGCAAACTGGTAAGCTTGATGGAGGATATTTTTGTTATGCAGGAATTGAAGCCATGCATCTATTTTTTTCTTCTTAGAATGAATTAGTTTAAATTTGTGCACGATATCACTGGCATAAATTTCCCCAAAACAATGGTGTTTACAGCGCTGTACCAATTTCGCGGTAATAATGTTATGTCTCGAGTTTATTGTCAATAATTTTCGCCAAAGCTTTGTAGAAGGTGGCAACGAAACCGCCCAATTTTACGCGTGCAACGTATTCGTGTGTACTGTTAATTCCTTTTGGCTCTCATTAATTGCAGAACAAATAACTGGGTGGCAAGCTCTCCTCCAAAGACTATTTAAAACCGTCACCAAAAACCCATCGTCTCTATTAATTTAAATAGGTTCTCATCAATATTCAAAGACATTATCCTGTGGGAGAGGCGCACTGAGGGAGCTGAGAAAAGGCGTATTCTTGCCCTTTCGGACATGCGCACAATGTCACTTGGGAACGGAGAACGGAAGTGTTTCTCCGATAGTCTCTGAAGAGAAACGTATACAATCACAGGTCTGTACTACGTATTAAAACGTTTAATGTCGAATCGAAGAAACAATAATGAATAAAAAATAGATGATCTTCGTATAGGACGAAACAAAGGATCAATATACATAATGTACTTCGTATCTAATTTCAACATTCATGTTATCGTTCTTGAATCCGTTATGTAGATATGTGAAAGGCACACTTTCGATGTGAGGTTAAACGATTAAATACACTGAAGATACCAGACGTGATCACACATAAAAGACCACGTGTGCCTCGAACTTTCTCTAGTCAAATTGGTGTTAAATAAATCTGCTCTTTCTCGGTGTCACGTTACTGATAAAATAAGTTTGTCATATGACGTAACAACTTTCTTGACGTAGTGTATTTCTTTTATAATTCGAAGAATGTTAGAACGCAAGTCAGTCATTTAACTCTACCAACTCCTCAACTTTCGAAGCTATATGTAACCCATTACCTCCGAACAAATGTCTTATATGTATTACAAGATTTCTAGACCGGAAGTCGGCCATTTTTGTTTTATGAGCTCACATATATCTGTCACAAAAGTTCGTCTGCAGTGTATTATTGAATTAGTAAATGTACGCCGTGTGAATGATTGACGTTCTGATATCGTGACATTATATCGGCGATATGATAAAGTTCGTCCTGATCTACAGATTAAACAAGGTTGTCGTTACGTGTCAGGGTTTACTTCTTGTTTTCACTGATAATGGTCGTACATCGTCTGCCTTACTCCCGGCGACATTCATTTTCAACCTAGTCGAGCACTGGCGCCTCTTCAGCTCTGGGTGGGTGCATTAATTCTGTTCTGTATTGCTCCTGGTGTTTGATTGAAAAAAATATGGGACATTAGAATGCCTTAATAACGCTAAAAGGAATTGCAAAATAGAATGATAGAAAAAGTAAAATTAAACAGAAAAATCTGTGTGTGTGGTTTGTTGTGGGAGGGGGTCTGCTTGATGTCAGATGTTTAAAAAAAAACCTGTGTAAATTGCCTGTGACAACTAAGAACAATTTTACTCGAAGTAATGAGCTTTTAGGTCACAGCGATATTATAAATATGAGAGGGGGGCGAACCCCCTCTGAACCTTACCCTGTAATGGACAGCTGTAAAGGGGGTCGTCAATTACCTGTCTTCACATCACTTGAACCCGTCCAAGTTGCATTAAGTAAACAAAGCTGACCTGGGCTGACCTAACGTATATATGTGTATATGTTGATAACGCGGCTGAGATGAAACATGACCTGCACTCTATCGGCTGGCTAGATTCCCTTTTTAACCGCACTTTGTACACGTACACATGTGGGGTCCGGTATAGGTGGTGCATCTTCCTTTTTTGGACTTATAAGAGATAATATGATAAAATGCATATTATACTTAGGACACGGTCAAGTTATACATCTTAATGTTAGAAACCGTTCAGAACTTACAGTTCTATCTTAATTATGTCTACTTAATGTGTTTAAATATAGATGTGACATATATAATATTAAAAAAATATGTAGCACGCGCGTCTGTCACACAGACCGGATGCGGTCCATTGACCTTTATGTGACCTTTACGAACCGCGGATGCTGCACTCCGTTGTGAAATAGTTACATCTCTACTGTAAGTGTCACAGGAATGTCATCCTAGGCTGGAAGAATACCCTCGGAGTACAGTCAAACCTCGTGGTCGTAACGTACACCAGCGGTTGGTGTCTTTGGTCATAGCTGCTGGTCAAGATTCCGCGGTCAAACACCTATGATAACTTAACGGTTAAATCTTGAACAAGAAAAAATAAGGTATGATGTAGGCCTTCCTCCTGAGCGAACGCATACGAAAACGTGAATTCATCAATATGTTTTATTATGTTGTACCTTTCTGAATTTAGAGATGAAGAGCGACGTTTTTGTGCTTGACCGATAATGTTGATATATGGTTTATACATTAGTTGTTAGATCGCTATGTCCAAAGTACACACAAACATGAAGTTTGCACAGCATGTCACCATTAAGTAAGTGTTATCAAACTTATAGCAAGCAGATTAAATTCTCAATTCACCCGGTCGGATCGAGTGTATTGGATACAAGCGCCAAAGTTGCCGGTCTATACAGCAAAAATCTTCAGATGTTGTGTGTATGGTCACTCGTCCAGGACGGCTGGCTGGACAAAGCATGGTTAATATTAGATACAAGCCAGTGAGAAGGATCTAACCCTCAGATGTGTATTGTATCGAAGTGTATGGCAAGCCTACCATTGATATATGTGTGTATTTACTTGTAGATTGAAACGAGCCCGACTTTGCGGACTGCCGAATGTGATCACCGTCCACTACTGTGACTGATAAGACATCTGCCAGGTAAGCATATTAACACTTCTCTATTCACTTATACTATAATATCTATTTATAAATAATTTTCTATAAAAAAAACACATGGTAGCCTAGCTAACGCCGCATGTCCAGTCCGGCACCTTCCGTAGGCTGGATGTTCGGGTATCCGAGATGCTAAGAAATTCCACATGTAAATTATCATAGAATAAGATACATCCCCTACCTTTAAATGTAATCTCAAACTCCAGGACACGTATAGTGTGGTCGTCGAAATTAGCCGTGGTCAAAGGTTTGAGTTTTTACGGATGGGCAAATGGTCACCGTATTTGACCAGCTGACCTTATTTAACGTTCACTGAATATCGTTGTCACCTTAATGACATTTTGCCGTGGGTAGTTATATAGTGGACAGGTGTCAACAGTGAGAGTCTACCTGGACAGGTACGGTATGCAAAGTCATACATTTATATGTCACCCAGTTTCAGCCAGGTATTTAAGGTCACATGTATCACTTAAACACGTGTTTACATAACCGTGACGTCACATGCACAAGTTAAACGTCTCTGGTGGCACCTCCTTACAACATGTGTATTACAATAAAATAAACAGAGTTACATAAATTGTTATCTTTTTCAATGAAAGTAGAAAATACAATAGCAAGCTAAAAAAAATAATATTGGGAAAGACCTATTACACGCGGTTGGTGAAGCGTTTAAGCGTCTTATTGTGTGTGGACGTTTTAAACAGTGTATCTGTTTATCCAATATAGCCATTTTGTCATTATCACCGTGCCTAGGGCAGGTTTGGCCTAATTCCTATAGCTAGGTATGGAGAACATGGTAGGCCATTTTCCGACTAAATACGCACGATTTTACAATTATTGAACCCTTTTTTCCGCACGACAAAACTGTAAAAATACTGATGTTGGGACCAATTAACTGATGCTACAAAGCCCTGAGTACACCATTGTTTGTAGTTGTAGTTAGAATCTGCCTCGTGCGTGGACCGGTTGTTGCACAACATGTAACGTAAATAATGACGTAAGTCCATCATATCACATACATAGTTATATATACACTGTATAAATATATACAGATGTAGTTATGTAGAGAATGCTCCCTTGTACTTCTGGATGTAAGCATGTAATATGATGTACATGTAACTGTTCTGTTTCACTGTGTCTTGAAAAAGGAGCGGATCGCTCCGAAAATTTGACAACCTAAACTTGTCCACACTGTTGGAATTACTTCTTTGCCTCATGTAATATTTTAAGTAATTCGTATCATACGGACATACCTCCATTAGGATCCAGTGTTATATGGGATTTTACCGTCTATATTACTTCTTTGACCCATATATATATATATATATAAGTCCTTGCGAAGGAAAATATAGAATAAAAACATTTTTTTCAGATCGTCCGTGCCTAGGGCAGGTTTGGCCTAATTCCTATAGCTAGGTCTGGAGAACATGGTAGGCCATTTTCCGACTAAATACGCACGATTTTACATCTACTTTAATTTTACATTTACATGGCGATCTGAAAAATTTGTTTTTATTCTATATATATATATATATCATTTCACACTTAACTAATCCTTTCTTTTATCTATCGGTCATCTTAATGATCTATTTTTGTGTCGATATAGGGTTTGCCGTATGGCCAAAAATAATACGATTCCCCGCGTCTGGATATTGACTCTGCCAGAACCCCTGTGAGGTGCTGATACATTTCGTATGTAAATGTATCTTCGTGTCATTTCTGCATGAACTGCTGTTGGTTTATATATCCACATGAATACATGTTGCAGTCACGCAGATCATAAACAGAACAGTTATACAAACAAAATGGTTTTAGTGATTTAATACAGGGGTTACGCTCACTTTCGCTGTCGCTGTGCGAAAGTGAGCGTAAGCCCCTGGATATTGAGGATGCTATAGTGACTTGTAAGTGTGTCTGACGAATAAGATCCCTGGACCCGGTGTTGTGTTGTGTCTATCTATACTTATATTTAAATTAACATTTCTTCAACAGAGTGGTACAACACTAGGACCCGGTAACTGCCAGGTCAACAGACACACTCTTCAGTCTATGTGTTTTTCCTCTCAAAATCCAAATTTTTGTTTGAAAAATTGAATGTTTTTTTGACAATTTAGTCCAATTTGTATTGACTTTTTTTAAAATTTTAATTCATTTATTTTCGAATTCAAAACCATTGCAACTGGCCCTGACTGAGCATCATTTTGTGTAATTACAGAACGGCTGGTTTGATACGCCACGTTCGGAACACACTTTTTAGGGTGTACGAGTCTCTGGCATTTGCAAGATTGCCAGAATAAGGCTAACACGGCGTTTAATATTATTTTGCGGGGGCATTGTAATTGTCTGGTCAAGTTCCTTTTGTTAAATATTCTAGTGATTGCTTCTATCCCAATGCATTCTCACATTCCAGGAATTTCATGTAAATTCCAGTACGTTAGACTTACTCGATCACTGCAACATGTATATTCATGTTTCTTTAATTGCAAAAAGTAATTCAATATTTGATAATTATGATAATACATGTATACTACTTTCAAATGTGTATAAGTGCAATTAATATTCAAATTCAATAACTTTAGATGATACATCGCGAACCGTAGAAAGCCAGATAATTCATTGTAGATGTAGGTGTATGCTACATGCATGAACTATACGATGACATTGCGCTCATTGACCCGATGAACATGCAATGCATTTGTTTCACGGGTAAATGACAGAGAGTTATTTGTCGGCGTCTAAGTGTTATTTTCTTTGTAACACCTAAGGTGTTTTATTAGCCTTGTATCGGTGAACTTTATTCTAATCTATTTTCCCCAACTGGTTCCTATTTGTGCCAGTCAAAATCTTTTAATAATTCCATAATCGATTATTATGTTAATTATTTTTTAGTTAAACTCAATTCAGCCTTGTTCTCTTTTAAGGATGTGTTAGTTCTACACGGGAACCTCCCTGTAAGACACTTTCGCATGAAATGATGGAAAGGCAAAGCAATTGCAAACGGAAAAAAAAAAGTTACATTCGGTACCTAGACACTCTACAACATATTATGTGTAATAGCGTTACCACATAAAAGTTTTAGTGTCCTCGGATTTTCATTACTCTATCTGGGTTATTAGCATCCTCGATATCCAGGGGTTACGCTCACTTTCGCTCTCTACACCCTTGGACATTACAAAGGAGCGACGCCCGACTTCAAAGCCTGTCATTTTTACTGTTACGCTACCGCAAGATTCATTTGATGTACATCGAAGAACCAAACAAGTCTTCATTGAGGCTGACATATTCCAGGGGTGTAGAGAGCGAAAGTGAGCGTAATCCCTGGATTTCGAGGATGGGTTATTAGTTGCAATACCGGTAACGTTAATCCCTGTATAATGATTCCATAATGAAAATTTTGTGTATGCAAAATGAATATAATTGTCTATATCAGAGGGCAGGGTTGAAAATCGTGTGATGTTGTAGAATAGAAATAATCACCTATTGTGTGTATGTCGCTTGTATGTAGGTGTTCTGAACAAATATGTATGTCTCGTTCATCACAGCATCTACCTCCATGTGTTGTGGGGTGTATGCAATGGTATCCAGGGTGCAAATTGCCTGAAATTACGTTTCTATACACATTTGCATTTAACCTCCGTGAACCAAAGCTACAGGTCACGTGATTCGCTTTATGAATCATATATCTATATAAATATATATAAAACAAAACACCGAATACTTCATTTCTCTAGTACTTTCGCCCATCTTGTGGCTCTTCGGGCGATTTCAAGGCTGAATTGATTTCAACTTGAAAGATAATGAAAGAATATAATAATCGATTATGAAATTATCAAAAGATTTTGACTGGCACAAATAGTAACCCGTTAGGGGGTGGGGTCGTTTCACATTTTCTATGTAATTTATTTGTCTCGGTTTATAATTAATTATTAATATGTAGTGTGGACTCTGTCGGTTAACTTATTAAGTTTTTCTCTTAATTGTAGAATTAAAATATCGCGTACAATATGTTAGTGTGAACAGCAATAACCTACCAATGACAAACGTTTCATCGACTAAGATAATGTTCTGTCATAATTACGCTTGACAAACTATTATTCATCAGTTGTGGAACTTCGTCTGTCATTTAACTTCAGTGTACGTTTCTAGTTTAGACGTCAAGCTGCACTTTCATTGACTTGTTTTTTTGTCATCGTTAATCTTTTCCGGATCCCTCTAATCTAGGACGCTTTCGGCTCTGTCACATGCTAAATTCTAACAGTGTATCTTCATTTGGTGACTGCATTAAGTATGGTTGTTATTTCCCTCTAAACAAAACAAGTTTCATTTCGATGACGGAAATGGTGCTTATTTGCATATGAGCGTCCTAAAATTGATCCCTGAAAGATCGTTATCGCCGTTGCTTGAAGTTCAGTGTTTACTGGTATTTTGAGTCCAGTACTTTACAATTAAACAAAACCCAATCCGCTGTTTGATTCTGTAATTGTATGTTTGACTCCGAACGTTTCTGTACAAGTTTGTAAGATGACCTGTTCGAACACGGCGGTTTTTGTTTTCCTTTCCCTAAAATGGATACTTGCTCCAAATCCGCTGTTCTCTTCTTCAACTAATGAGATTTAAACTCGATTACTGCGTCTCCGATTTCGTCTTAACTTTCAATTAAGCACATTTTCAATTAAGTACATGTTTTGAATCCGAAAACCCCCAGTTTAGTTACACCTGTTTTAAATTTGGCTGTGATTGCAGTAGCTCTAAGTAGGGTTTGTCCATTTATAGGCTAAGTTATTGCTTTTCCAGTCGGACTAAAGGCTTCCCTCTTCCTTCTTTAGTTGAGGGTCCATGCGACACTTCCACTCATTCACTTAAGTCGCCTTTTATCAAACCGAACAAGCCGATTCTTATTGTAAACTTAGCATTAACGCAAGGGTTCTTCACTCGTTTACAAACGAGACTTCATTATCGAGACTTCCCTGTTAATACGAGACTTT